CACTTTCTTCAAGCACTCTCTGCAGTATAGTGAGCATTTCTTCAGGAGATTTTGGTCCCTCAAAAGGATATTATTTTAAGGCAGGAACAACGATTTCCTGATACAGAGTGCAAGGATATTATTTTAAGGCAGGAACAATGATTTCCAACCCAAAAGCATAATATAAATAAACTGAGAGTTCATAGTACAAGTAGTGACGTGCATATATCACATTATTTCATTGCTAACCAAAATGAATAATCAACTTCACTTCCTTGCCACCATATTTTGATATAATTCAAATAATTTCCCTAGAATCTAAAGATAAAATAAACCCAAAACATAATATAAAAAAGACACAAATTTTCAGGTTGTGCATTGTGGCATTCAATAAAATTAATTGAAAAGAAGTAAATGATTGTAATTAGATTGAAACAATGTCAAATAGTCTTGAATCTCTTTATCTTGATAAGTCATATTGTTTTTAGTCTTGCGCATAGCCCTTTCACTGTGCTTCATTATATTTGTTTTGTTTTAAATCCATTGAAAGAAATGTAGTTATTTTCAAACTAGATTTGATCTATATATCAAGCCAATGAAATGAACAACACGAAATTCCTAATAGGCTTGTAACAATCTATTGTTCTTGCAATTCACCAACAAGATTGTATACCAGTACTTGGTACAATCCTTAATATAATTCAAAATGCGAATTTCTAATAACCAGTACTACACAAAACATCACATAAAAAATCTACCTCAAAGCATCAAACTTTGATACTCAATATCTCCCAATTAACAATTATACTATACTCATTCACAAAAACCACACGGACACCCACATTAAAACGAGAGGTCTATCAATTATGAACGATAGATACATATCTGTATGTAAACGTAACTTACAATTACAGGTGACTGGATTGGAAGGGGCAGAAGGGAATGAACATTTGGTGTTTTTGAATTCAGGAGATTTTGGTCCCTCAACCACTGACACATCAGCTATTGGGACACGGAAAGCCATCCCAGTAAGCTTTTAATTTAGAGAAGGAAGTACTTTCCTGACAGCCTACGAGTTTAATTGTATTAGAAAAAAATGGAAGCATACCAGAAAGGTTGCAGGGTCAATTTTATTCCACATATTGCAAGTCACAATATCTTGGCAGCTCTAGTACTGCTGGGAATAATGTCGAATGATGCGGCTCTTCCACCTCTCCAGTCCTTCTGAGACGGACCATCAACAGTCTTCTGTGTTGCTAAATCATAAACCAACATCAATCCCAATTCACATCTATGTCAAAAACTCCTAAGAAAATCATTTATTTACCAGTAATGGAGTGGACAGTTGTCATTAGACCCTCAACAATACCAAACCTGTCATGAAGAACCTGTTACACACAGTAACATTATATTAAGGTCAGGCTTCAGTTTATCATGATCCATGGTACCCTCGATAACTTAGAAGAAAATGTACCTTTGCCAATGGAGCAAGACAATTGGTAGTGCAACTAGCATTCGAGACAATATCAACATCTGACTTGTATTCCTTCTCATTGACACCAACAACAAACATAAGAGCATCTTTACTTGGGGCAGAAATGATGACCTTCTTAGCACTTCCTTGTGTACAAAAGGACATAACTAAAAAAGCATCAATTAAACTTTAATATATTATCAACCTAAATTTGTAAAATTGTGCAAATCATATACTGTGGATAATGGACGAGTATGGGATGTTTCATATTTCTGAAACCAACATTAGTCTACAAACGAGGAAAGAATGAAACATTGAAATAAAACAGCTGAATTTGACGTCGCTAAATGTGGATAGTAGTACCAATAAGTATGGTTCAATACAAACCTTCAAGTGGGCGGCAGCTTTGTCCTTGTCAGTAAAGACTCCTGTCGACTCGACAACAGAATCAGCTCCAGCTTCAGCCCATGGGATTTCCTCTGGGTTCCTGAGCATCAAATAGAAATTAATAATAAAACTAAACAGAGCCACATATTTATCACCTAGACAATATGATTGAGAAATACCTCATACCAAAGACAGTCACTGGCTTCTCACCAAAGAGAAGGGTCTTAGAATCCTTAACCTTAATCTCGTGCTTTTCCATTGACCATTTGCGTACATTTCTTCATCTGCGTACATTATCATAAACAAATTTCCAAAACAAGCAAAACACCAGTGAGACATTTTATCAAACACTTAGATTACAATAAAATGAAGTTATACATTACTTACATTTGCGAGCCCGGACACGACCAGATCCGAAGTGAGCCTCATTGAGGTGTGTGGATTAAAAGATTACTCAAGTGAGACCGGACACGACCAGACCGTCGATGCGGGGGTGGACGATAGAGAGGTCAGGGTCGAAGGGCCAGAGTACGTAGATGGCTTGATGAGAAGGGGAAGAACGGCGGCAATACAGAGTAGGCGGTTGTAGAGGTAACATTGGGCTCTTTGATTTACAGGTCGGGCTCTTCGATTTACAGGTCGCCTGAGTGTAGGATTGGAAATGGCGCTGTGTGTGTGAGGGAGGGAGACGGAGACGAGAGGAGGAGGAGGAGAAATTAGGGCTTTTAATTTTTAACAAAGCTTTGACACTTTTGGGAAAGTAAGGTAAAAAAATGACTATTAGCAACGTTTTTACAAACGTTGAGAAAAGTGACATTTCGCGACGTTTTTGGAACGTTTCGCAACCTTCATGTCACTTTTCGCAACGTTGACCTGAAAAACGCTGCAAAATGTCATTTTTCGCAACATTCACCCACACGAACGTTGCAATTGATCCTTTTAGCAACATTTAATCAATGAATGTTTCCTTTTAAGTGTTGACAAAGCCTATTTTTGTTGTAGTGTGTGGTCGTTGATATCTATTCCTAGGTTGGTCATTCCTACGCTGTTTAGTAGGCTTCTGTCCTACGGTACCCTTATTCTTGAGTTCAGGATTAGGAACACACATAAACTGGTTGGTGGCAGAGATAAAAATGGTTTTGGAAGTACTAGCCATATTATGATTGGTCTGATTATATCATAAACCTCCTTTATTCCCAGTAGGCTTGTTCAACCTCAAAAGAATGTCCAGTTTTTGAGATCCACTAGAGAAAACAAGAAGTTGAGACTTGGAATCTTCAAGTTTGCTCAGAAGATTTTTAACCTGGATTTCACATTCTCAACGGTCAGCTCACTTAGATTTTTGGTAGATTCCTGAAGGTCAGCTATGAGTTTCTCTCTCTCTATCTCAAGTTCATTAACCTTCTTTAATACAACTTTATTAACCTTCTTTATCTTAAAACTCTCATCAAATAACTTTTGATAAGCCTCAAGAATCTCATCCTCATCTTCAGAATCGTCCTCAGTTTGCTCACCATTATCTACTTTCTCATCCTTTTAACTGTCCTTATCATATTCACTTTTAATCCTAGTAGTGATGGCCATAAACTTCCTACTATCCTCATATGTAGATATCTTACTTTGATTATCCGAGCTAGACTCGTCATCAATGAGAGTTGCATTCTTAGCTTTGCCTTGATTTCTCTTACTATTAGGGCACTCACTTCTATAGTAGCCAAAACCTTGACACTTATAACATCTCACAAATTTAGATCTCTTTTTATATTCACTGGAATCACTTCAATGTCTCTCTTTAGTTTTCTTCTTATTTCTAAACATTTTTTGAAAATTCTTAACAAAGTAGGCTATTTTCTCATCATTAAGTGATTCCCAATAAGATGAATCATACTTTTCTTCCTTAACAGTGTTCAAGGCTATAGACTTGTTCTTCTTAGGTTGAGATATGTTGAGTTTATAAGTTTGAAGGGATCCTACAAGTTCATTCAACCGGAGATTGAAACCATGACATCAATAAATCAAACACAAATTGACAATTAAAAGAAATCTTGAATTAAAACATCAAATAAAAGGTTTACATCATCATTCTAGATACAATGAGTTTAGCCTAACATGTTAATAATACAAAAACACATAGTAGTTTGAATATTAATCACCCGGAAAATCAAATTTCAAAGAGAAGGTTGAAGATGAATTGTTGTCTCCTTCGAATTCCTTCATGGGAGTCTTCAAGAAATCTAAAGCTAATTGCTTCAAATCTTCAATTTCGAGCTACAAATCTTGAAAGAATGTCATGTTTTGTGTGTTTTTCTCAACCTAACTCTCTTTTCCAAGTTGCAAGATGAATCATCTTGAAATTGGCTTATTGAATTAGGTTAGAAAATGTGTGCCAATTGCTTTCAATGAAGAATTCAAATTAGAAAAGGAAACAAAATCTTTGCTGCTCGATAACACCGTGCAATTGCATATCCTCTATTTCTCTATCGGTTCTGCATCACCTTGCCTTGCAATTGCACAGGTTTAACTTTGCAATCGCAAGTTTCACAATTTCTCTTGTCTTCAATTTGGCCCTCGTCTTCCCTCTTTTGCATAGCTCAATTCCTTCCTAAATTTCATTGCAAGTTTTTCATCTTCCCAGTCTTGACACTTTGATCCCCACCTTCCATAAGTTGCACTATTTAAGTAATTTTCATCTATTTTTCTCTAATTTTCTCCAAAAGTCATTTCATCATCGAGACTTTCTCCTAAAACAAGCAATATACAAACTAAATGAAGTATTGATTGCGTAAAAGTACTCTCGAACGACCACTTTTGATGCCATAACTAAATGTAAAACTGCACTTGTCACTCATCAAAGTCGAGCTCACTCCATCTCAGTGCCAAACATCAAGGACAGATAAGATCTCACTAACATCTTGCCCTCAATCAAGGACAAATCCATACTATAGCCATTTGAAAAAATCCACCCATTAGAGATAAATCTTACAAGTATTTGCTCTATATATGTCAAAGCTTGAACCTATCAAGAATTTCCTAGTCTTGTTCCACTAACATAAGAATTAAGAAACCAATTTTTCACTTTCCTATATGAGATCTGTTACTACTGAAACATCTGTGTATGTATGCCTATGCTAGCGACAATTATAAATAAACATTAATACTTCAAATTTTCAGGCATTATTTGAAGACCATTATTTCTGTCTCTTCTAATTTTCCTGAGAGATTTTTTGCTTTGCAGACGAGGTATTGGCAATGTCGCACGGAGGAATATGATATGGAAGAGTAGAAATTTTGAAGTGATTGCGAAGGCACCTCCGGAATATGCAAGAACTATGCCACAAATGAGGTACATGCAATATATTAGATTTCTCCATATTTTGTTTGTCAATGACTGGATATTCTGGTGTGCGCCTTACTTGTTTTCTGAAATTTAATAGAACTCAGTAATTTATTCGATTTGCTTAAACTGACACGGTGAAAACTATGAGAGTGCCAACAACAAGAAGAAATTTAAAAAGCTTTGAAGCATTCACTTGATTTGCCTTTAATTTCTTTTCTTTCTCAACATGTTTGGAACATCTTAAGCTTAACTTTCCTTTTGCTTAGAAAGAAAGGCACATCATTTTGTATTTTACATTATGTTATGCTTCAACAAATTGAAAATTTGTGCATGCCTTTCGTAAAGGGTGCGCAACATATGGTCTAATGTTGATGACATCGTCCCTGAGGCCACATTAGAGTTGAACAAGATGACATCACCACCAAGGTATGTGCTTTTCTCCAATCTTTCATGTGTGAATCCGTCAAAGAGGTACCCATTTTGCATTTTCTTTTATTTTGCGACAATGATCATAGATTTTACTTGTTTAAAGAGAAAACGATCGTTTTGTTATGCATGTAGAACAATGATAAATGATATATGATTATGACATGATATTGTGAATATCCTAGGTAGGTAAAGGACGTGATATGTGTAATTTGTTGGCACAGCAACATATGATGTGATTAATCGCATCAAGGTCTGAATTTAGTGGGACTCTCTAGCCTAGCTTTTCTTAACACACCAATTTATTATTTTCTCATTTTTGGTGAATTGTAACAATGCACTGTCCTAGTTTAACTCGGTCACATAAGACTTTCGTGTTAATTTGACTAAGAGAAGTGAACGGAGTAACTGACTTTGGGATTAGATGGAGTTGAACGACCAGTTTGACATAAAAGATATATAGAGTCAAGATATATCTGATTAAGAATGGTATCGTTGGAAAAATTTTATGGATGCAAAACCTAACAAATTGGTTGTCCAAACTACAAGAGATGAGAATGAGTTTAAAGAATAATTCTTAGTACATCTAGAAATTTTATTTCATTATTTGTGGGAAAAAAGGACCCCGATGCTAGATATTCTATACGAGCGTGGGTGTTTATTAAGCAAAAGTAGCTGTACTTGTAGGATCAATGTTGTCTTTATAAGATATGGCAAAAGTACACCATCTACTTCATATTTAGAAGATGTCTTTCCCTTTAGGCTTAACATAATTGGTGAACCCTCTACTTCTAGAACCATCTAGTTCATATTTAGAATCTAAACACGAACTTAAAAATAGTAAAAGAATTAGAAAAGAGAAGAATTCTGAAGAAAGATATTTGTCTCTTTTGGTTGAATTTGAATATGAATCTATTGAAAATTTTGACTCAAAACAATTATTTCTTTGATAAAATAAACCAACAGAATATTATATAGAATACAAAATAATGAAATAATAGCTAAGCCTAGCTCCATGAGCAAAAAAGGTAAATATGATGTAGAATGAAGAATCTACAGAATCTTCAAGTGAAGAAAGTAAAAGGAAATGGAAAAGAAAGGACTTATGTATCGCACCACAAACAGCCAAGTGAAGAGTTTAAAGAGGGAAAATAGAAGAAAAATAGAGGAACATGTGTAGTTTGGTTATGTGTAGAGGGAGGTCGAGACTCGCAAAAGTTTGTAATATGGAACTTTGATTAGTGAAATGGTTCTCCATGTCCGTAGGTGAGCTTGTCGATTATGTAAATATGTGTTTGTCTTCTCCTATGATAATCAAAATTTCACAGTACTGTTTTTAAGAAATTATATTTCAATTTTCTCTCATCTAGTTCTCGAGAGTATCACTCATTCATTCTTAGTAATTATCTGAGACCATATACCTTCACTTTTTCACACTTAACGATACCCTCTGCGTAGTTTTATGGATCAAATAAATTGACCGAAAACTGGTTTTA